GGAATGGGAGGGCGGGGGCTGGTGGGGTGGGTATATGGGTGCAGCCGGGTGCAGCTGGCCAGTAGACCCAGGAGATCCACTCCTAGGAGCGCGGAAGGCCTGGCGGTCTTGCTGCTTCGGGCCCAGCGCATTCTCCTGCATGCTGCACGGCTGGAGAAACAGGCCAGTTACCCACAAGCCCACCCTCCAGCTGGGGTGTCCACGGCCCGAGTCAGCGCTGACTAACCGCTGTGACAAACGGCCCCGTTTCGGAGGCAACTTAGATTTTACCATTTATCTTTGTGCACGATGTCTGGAATTACGTTACAACAGTCCAGGAAACCATGCAGGAGGAGGAGTCAGAGCGGTAAATGAAAGAAGACTGGGAACTGCGGAGGAGTGTGGGGCTGGGCGCGGGCGGCTCAGTGAGTGATTGTACTGTCCTCTGGACTTTCGCATCACTGGGAAATATGTGCATGTTTATTTCAAAGGCGTACCAAGCCCACGGCTCGTGTTCCTGGTGCGTGGCTCTCTTAGGTGGCTGTCTTCTGGTGCTTGCTCTCGGACATAGGCCCCTTCTCTTTTGAGGCTCCTCCATCATCTTGTGGCCTCATGGTCATCCTGGTGTCATCCAAATGGAAATCAAGAGAAAAAAAGATGGCATGCCCGCCAGTCAACACCACATCCTAACAGACACGTCTGCTCACGTCGCACCAGTGAGAGCTGGCCACGTGATCGGCAAAGGGCACTGGGAAATGTAGTTCCCAGCTGGGAAGGTACTCTCCCCACACACACCATATGCTGTAGGAGGACCTGAACCTTTGTTGGCCAGCTGATCATCGTATTTCTTATCGTTTCTTACACTTTGTTGAGGAGGGAGTGGCAAAGAAGAGACCCTGAAGGACATTCAGGCTCTGGGGGACGCCCAAGGTGAACCCAGAGTCCCTGTCTCTAGTCCCTGCCCTGCACCCCAAGCCCCTGAACAGCTGTTCTAAAGCCCAAGTCTGCTGGTTACCCTATGGCCCTGCTCAGCTTCGTGGCCTAGGGCAGTGGGCTCCAGCCTTTTTGGCACCAGGGACCAGTTTCATGGAAGACCATTTTTCCACAGACCAGGCGGCAGGGGAATGGGTTCAGGATAACTCAGGAGCATTGCATGCGGGACCAGCAGGTGGCATGGTGGTTGCTGCGCTGGACTCCCACGTGGCCAGCAGCAGTTCAAGCTCCCGACTCAGCAGCTTGAAAATCGTGCTGGTGCATGCAGGTGCGTGTCCAAAATCCCAGGAGAATGGAGGAGAAGGGATTGCAGCAAGGCCATTGCCCCTGGGGGATGATTTCTCACTCTCCCCCTGTCTGTCTCTCTGGTGAGTGTGTGCAAAAATGACAAAAACCTTTAAAACAAACAAAAAGAACATTACATTTGTCATGCACTTTATTTTCAATATTCCATTGTGAGAATAAGGACCGGTACCAGTCCACGGCCCAGAGGCTGGGACCTTCAACCTATAGGATGCATCATGACAGAGACACCTCTCAGAGAGCTGGAAGTTCGGCACTCTTGCCACCTTGGGCTGACAGGTTCCCCTGCACAGCCCAGGACAGCAGGCTGGTCACCCCCGATTCTACTGCTCAGTACGGAGCGTCCCTGCCTCGGGCAACTGGCCAGAGCACTCGGTTACAACCTTCTCTGAAGAATCCCAACTAATACACGGGGTCTTCGAAAAGTTTGTGGAAATGTATATTATGGAAAAAATCACACACAGATTCATAAATTGGTACTTAATTTCATTTTTTCATAAACTTTTTGAAATCCCCCCATACAATTGCTGTCCCCATGTCACAGAGGTTAAGGTCATGGCCAGAGTCACAGACCCAGAGGGACAGGCCGGGATGGAGACCCACGCGGCCCCTCCAGGACCAGCATTTCTGACCCCCCGGCTGATGCTGAGGTCCAGATATACCACCTCCCCCAGAGTCCCTGGCTCCTAGGCTGGCCACACAGCTCCATCCAAAGAGCCAGGATGGTTTATCGAGCCTTCTCTGCAGCATTTTCCAGAGATCTGCTGACGTGTGTCTGGGTGTGAGAAGAAAAGAGAAGCAGAGGACCTGGGACGAAATCTTCCCTCTCTTTCCCGGTGTGTGACCTTGAGCAAGTACCGTCCCCTCTAGAAATTTCCATCAGCAGTGGACTGGGGGAGGCGGACTGCCAAACAGTGGGACCATCGTGGACGTCTCTGCTATGACAGAAACAGCGTCAGGAGGAAGAGCGAGTGTGTAGAGAAGAGGTTCAGATGCAGACTGGCTCCGGAGGGCGACACCAGAGAGGCCCCGTCACCGTCACTGCGGGACGAGGAGCCTGAGGCTCAGCCTGGCCGCCCTAACCAGACAGTAGGTGGGCACGCAGAGGCCCCTGGGTCAGTCTCTCCGCTCTTGAGTGGAGTCGGCTTTTGTTACCAAGGATGGTGAGGCACAGACCTCAGGTTGGGAGCTGACAGCATCTGCCACATGGAGGCTCAGAGAGGTCAAGATATTAACCCAAAGTGACACAGCTGATAGATGACAACCGAGATTTGAGCTGCGCCCCATGTCACAGTGCACACGCCTCCCCGAACTCAGCTGCTCCCCAGGAAGCGATCTTGGCACTGCGCCGAAGCCATCCATCCGCTCCGGCATCTCTGCTCCTCACCCCTTCGCTGCCAGCACCTGCCTCCAGCGCCTCGAGCCAGCCGTCCCGCGGGTTCGAGTCCCACAAGCACTTCTGCAGTGGCTGTCTTGCTGCGGCTGCACTAAGGCTCCCTGGGCCACAGCCCACACATGCCCCAGCTCCGATGCCTGTTTTTATTGGTCATTCTTTCCAGCTTCTCTGCTCTGGCCCTCTGGCCCCCATCCCTTTCCCCAGAGGCTGCCTTGGCCCCAAGGCCACAGAGAATGGGTGACATCATCTCTGCTCTGGACCTCTTACAGCCCAATTATCGGGCTATAAGTGGAAACACCCTGCGTTTTCCCACAGGAAAGTGGCCTTCCTCACTCCTGATCCTGCTGCTCCGGGGACCTGGACAGAGTCCACGGCTCCTGTGCAGAGAAGTACGCATCCTGGCCCCGTGGACATGCCATCCAACTCTGCTTCTTCTAACCCTGTGGGAAGCGACCTGGCATGGCAGGAAGGCAGCCCCTCGGCTCACCAAGCACAGCACTTCGGGGCCTGATGGACCTGTGTTCACGTCACCTCCTCCTTGTTCCTGTCCCACCACCCTGGGCAGTGGCCTCGCGGCTCGGGAATTCTGCTGTCTCTCTTCCAAGTCGGAGCAGCGACAGCCCTCCCCTCCTAAAGCTCTGCGCGTTACAGGGACAAAGTCAGATGTTCGCCCAAGGCCCCAGGTGCCCACAAGGCGGGGCTGGGCCTGGATTAGGACCCCGGCCATCGGGACCTCCAAACTGCCCGGTAGCATCCGGGAGCCCAGATTCTGCAACTAGGGAGCAGGCGGGGCGAGGTTCGGGGTCCAGGTTCTAGACCCGGCTTGGGGCAAAGGGCAAGGTCATTTCTCGGGCGCTGGGCTTTCCCAGCTGTGACGGGAACGACAGCCCCTGTGGAGGGCCACGGAACAGCCCTGCCGGGTCCCCGGCTCCTATGCTGCAGGTCAGTGTTCAGAACCCCGGCCCCCTGCGCTGCGTACTCATGGGCTTTCAATGAGCCATGGCTTCTTCTCCAATAGTCTGAAAATGGATTGAAATGAGCTTCCTATCACATCCATAAAGGGCAAACCGGGCACCTTCGCCGTAAATGGGGGGAACTGAGAATATAAACAGCGAAGTCAAAAAACTGGGCTTGGCAGCCGTAAATGAACACAAGTTCTTCGAACCCACTTTCCCACCGCCTCACAGCGCTTCACACCCTCCTGACCCCCGGCTGGCGCTCCCCCCACATACACGCACACACATGCGCACGCACACATGCACACTCCCCAAGCAGACCTCCCATGGGGACAAAGTGTCCTTCTGCCTCCCAATGGCAAAGGGGCCACCGTAGCCCCTCCGATTAAACTCAGATGCCGTCCCCACCGCCTCCTGCTGCCATGAGGAGGCCGAGGTCCCCTGCAGACCGGAACACGTGGCACACCCTGGTGGTGGTGTGTCCTCCAATGCTGGAGCCAAAGCCTGTGAGTACGAGGGTCTGCCGGGCTCTGAGATGGGAACCCGCCTGCCTCAGCCCCTCAACTGCACCTCAGCGTCCCCGGGTGTGTGTTCCTCCCCTTCCCCTCTTCCCGCGTCCTCTGACCACTGACGAGCAGAGTGCCGTGGACGGGACACTCACCTCTCCGAGCCCCAGAGCCCGAGAGGGCAAGGACCCCTGCTTTGTGCGTTGGCTCGTTTGGGGGCCCTAACGGGAGCAGGTCCATGGGCAACAGTGTCCCTGCTCCGAGTGGGCCCTCTGGGGGGCTGTGCTCCCCCGGCCACGTGGACGAGGCCTATTCCAGTGTGCAGTTTCTCAGCTTGCTGTGTCCTGGTGCCAGAATGGGAAGACGGTGTACTGTTTCCTCACCTCGGGAGCACGCCGTACTGTAACTCTCTGCACCTCACGAGAGGTAACAGCTGCTCCCCTAATCCTGCGGGCGCGTCAGGGGTATAACTTTTATTCTCCACACGGTAGTCTATTTTTTTAACCAACTGTGTTTTATTTGTTGCATAATAAGCCACCCCACATCTTTCAGCTCGAAAAACACTAAATTTGAATAAAGATATCACAAAATGAATTAGAGCCCAATTAAAATTTGCTTTGAGGGAGGGAACACCACAATTATACTCAATTAAGGCAAACTTTTTTATAGACCAGAGTTTGTTTATTTTTAACACCCATCATGCCATGAATTCATAGGACTAGGTTCCAGCAGCTCAGGCTCCTTCCCATGGGTTCTCACACAGTGGCTGCTCTGGGTGGAGCAGGCTGGCGTGTCAGTTGGACCCAGGTCCCTTTCTCTCTGGCTTCCTTCTTCTCCTGGTCATTTTCCTTTGCACGTGTTAGGAAGCTCTCTCCGCTCTTAGAACGCTTAATAATATGCTCAACACGCACATTCATTCTCTTGGCGAGAATCCTGCCCTTCCCTCGTGTACAACAGTGCCAACGGCATGCTGGGTAATGTTGCAGACTCTTCCAGGTGGGCCCTGGTAACGCTTGAACAGTGCCCATCCCCTCAATGTCTACACTACCACCTTTCCTGGAGACGTGCAAGTATGTTGCCAAAGGAGCCACTTCGTGTTTTCTAAAAGTCCTGGAGAACTTGTACCCAGGGTCCCTCCTTTCCCTCTCTGTCGGTCATTTTTGGTGAGTTACCGGAAGAAAAGCACACAGTAGTCTACTAATAAACATACCATCATTGAACCAATCGCCTCTTGTGGGGCATTTAGGTTGTTTTCAGCCCCTGCCCCGACACCAGGGATGAATGATCGTCCTCACAACCAGCGCTGACTTTGCAGACTGGAACAGCTGGAATGGTCTGCCTCGGGCACACAGCCCATCAGAATGGGCAGGGGTCACCCGCAGCCACTTGGGCTGCCCCGTGTGGTCCCACTGCGTGTCCTCTCATCTCGGCACCCCTCCTATGAGATTTCCTCTGGATACATTCTGAGAACTGGACCTGCTGGGTGGTCGAAGCATCAGGGAACATTCTGAATGGCTTCTGAATGGCTCCAACCTTGAACTTCCTTTAAAGACCCTTCAGTCCCATCCGCAGGGCCGCTCCTCTCGGGATGGGTCCAGAAGGCACTGAGGGGGAATTCTCACCGGAAACTCCCAGCCAGCAGCAGTGGTTCTGCACTGAGGCTGATGATGCCAATGCCTTGACGGGGTGCCCGAGGCCCCTGGGAGAAGCCCAAGGGGGAGCTGGAGATGGCGCACTCAGCCGCTAAGCATGCTCTTCCTCCGGAGGGGCTGCGAGGCTCCCGGCCTGGAGGGGCCTGCAGCAGGTGGCGGATGCTCAGGGACCCCACGTCCGCCCACCTGTCCTTATTTGGAGCATTGTTCCAATGCCTGGGCTCGAATCAGACCTTCTCCCAGCCACGTGAGCTTGCGGTAGTCTGCCCGTGGAGTCGTGGCGTCGTCATCAGTCACGTAGAGGTGGCAGTGGGGAGGTACACACTGAGATCACGCCAGGCTCCTGGGGCAGGCACAGGGCAAGCCAAGGAGAGAGGGAATGTGGCAGGGAGCAGCGACAGCTCTGCAGGCGTGCGAAGGCAGCACGCGAGGTCCACACTCGTGTTCCAGCTCACCAGGACTCCCGCTCCCCGGTGACGACCGGAAAGCTGGCTGACCCAGCCTGAAAGAGGAGGAGCCTCTGTAAGGACCTTCCCTCTCCGAGGCTCCAAGGTCCCCATGTGCTGGCCTACCCCCTCCCACTGGGCACCCCCCTCCACACCAGCTTCTGCAGTACTTCGAACACATCAGGTACCCTCTGGCCTCAGGGCCTTTGCACTTGCTGCACTCCCCATCTGGAACATTCCTGAGTCGTTACAGGGTTCAGCCCCTGACTCTGTTCAGGCCGCCGCTCACAGACGCCGCCACTCACAGACGCCACCACTCACAGACGCCTTCCCCGGCCACCCCTTCTCAAACAGGCTTACCCACACACCACCTCATCGCCCATTTTCTCTATTCCCTCGCCCCATTGGTTCCTCACAACACTTACTCCTTCTTTTCGATTGCTCCAAACGTTGGCTTCCCTGCTGGTTGGTCGTTGGTGGCCTCAGAAATGAGAGGGAAGCCCACAGGGGCAGAGCCTTCACCCAGCAAGCTCCCCCCACAGCCTGGACGGCAAGCAGCAGGTGCTCGGAGAACTGCCGGCCCCTTTCGGAGCATTCCCAGTGACCTCAGCCAGCCACTCCGTCCTGCCCCTCGGTTCCTCATCCTTACGGTGGGGCTGCCCGTGCCTGACACCAGGGCAGTGCCACCGTCCCGACAGGAGGGCTGCGGGAGAGCCTGGTGCTGGCAGGTGCGCCACCGCCTGCCCCTCCTCAGTCAGGCCCTCCAGGACGGGACACTCATCTCTCAGAACAGGACAGCAGAGCCAGCCTCAGGCGGGGCTGCCTGGAGGGGCTGCCCTGGGGTCAGGGGTCTCCCCCTTCTCGCCCCATCGCCCAACCCTGCTCCCCAGCTGGGCTTCTCGCAGGGGTTCCTTCAGGCCCATGAGTAATCGATGATGTGTTTATCTCTTTTGGACAGTCTCACAATCCCTGGGGGAGAAGAAGTCCTTCCTCTCCTTGTTTTGATCTGCTGATTGGGCCCCCTCCCTGGGGAGTCACCCAGTCTGTCCTGTAGCTATCTTAGTGGGTGGCCCCCAAGCCTCCCCTTGGTGCCCCACAGCCAGGGCTGGGCAAAAAAGTCTCCCAAGATTGTGGGTGGCCAGGGAGTAGACCAGGCCCCAAGAGCAGCATGCCCAGGCTGGCTTGGATCATTCTAGATCATTCTAGAAGCAATTTCAGCTTACCTGTAGACACAAAGCAGACCCTCTCCAGGAGTCCTCAGACCAGTCCGGAGCTACCCTAAGGGCCCAGGGACGGGCCTGGTCACACAGCAGTTCCTTTTTCCTCTGTGGAGAATGTATTCTCATTTTATTTGTGCTCCTAAAAATTATTCTTGAGAAAAATAGCAAATACATGAACGTAGCTAAATAATACATGCATTTTTCTGGAAAGGGAGTGCCAGGGGGCTGTTTGTCCCAAGGCTAAGAATAGGGACACCTTAGAGGGAGGGAGACAGACCAGAGCTCTGAAGCTGGAAGCCCGGGGGGCTCTGCCCTCCCACCTCCACCACCTCTCGGGGAGGTGACACCCCCATAGGCCTTGCCCTCAGGGCTCGGGAATTTCCTAGAAGTCAAAGGCATCCTGAGAAAAAGCATCTTCTCATGGCCTTCAGGCAGAGACTGGGGTGAGTGACTTTTAATTAGCATTTCATCATTTTTCTGTATTTTATAAAATCCACACGTGGGAGGAGGGAGGAGTGAGACTCCAGAGAGGAGAGGTCAGGGTTTCAGTGGGTATGATACTCAGGAGAGCAGTGTTCCAAATCGATCCAACCCCAGGGCTGACAAGTCTTCTGACAATTCGTTTGTTTTAATATTATGTATCCTGCATTTCAAGTCCATGACACATTAAACCAGGGATCCCCAAACCCCAGCCACAGACAGTGCCAGCTG